CACAGTTTTGGAACACTTTTTACTTCCATTCAAGTTTTCTCCAAACTTGCGGTGATTAAACGTATTTGTAAATATTGTATGTGTCGAATTTGGTGTCTCTGTCTTATTTTGTCCTGCAAATTGACACATCAACTTCTGTAGTATTTGAAACTACTTTTTTTACCTATTCCACTTTTTGATGACTTAAATAAAAAAAAAAAAATGAAAATGAATAAATGTCGTTATAATATTGCTTGAAACTTTAAAATCGTTTTCGGTTGGTATTTTTTGTTTGTGACAATCATAATTCAAACAAATATCTACAACTGACTATCAACTTGATACGTTTTTTCGGATTTCTAAGCCCAAATCACAAAAACAATTTTTTTTTTTTTGAAAATTTGTACGTTGTAACTCGAGTTCAAGTTCTACGATTTTGATAAAATTTGCTTAGTTTTGTAGCTCTTTTGAAGAAAAAAACATAGCCAGAATACTCGATCAACTTTCGAATCGTAGCTCTAGTACAGCAAATTACAAAAACTACAAAAAATTCTATGTATTTTCACGAATTTTCAAGCCAAAGTCGATATAATTTGAGTTCAAATTCTACGCTTTTGATTAAAATTACTCAGTTTGTCCGTCGACACCAGGGGTGAAAAATATTTTTTACTATATTGTACATCAAACACAACAAATTGGCAGTGTATCAGATTTTCCAGGGTCCTTAAAGAATAGTTAGTTTCTGTGAGACAAATTTTGTCGGAAGTGAGTTGGAAAAAAAAAGTTTCCATCATTTCAATATAAATAATATACAAAGATAATTTTATCTTTAGGTCCTTTGAATTAACCATCATTTTTATATATAAGCCAACTGAAATGAAAATAATAAAATGGTTTGCAAAGTGTTTTCGGTGAAAAATAAAGAAATAAAGTAATGACAATATATTGTGCCATAAAGTGCACCATGATATTTAATAGCTGATGGTAATATTACCAATCGAAAAGATGACATGTAATTTTCGTGATGTTATCTCTTCTTAACCAGCCAAACTATAGTAATTTCAGTATTTTGTATTGCATTTGGCTGAGAGATAAAGAGATAACTTGATGTAACTGGATTGCCACTTGTAGTTAATTAGCATCAATTGTGTCCGGTATCTGATTTAAATGTCGAATTGAACAATTGAGTTATTGAATCAAAGTAATATATCTCTATACTGTTAATTGAAGTGATAGAAAAAAAGTGTTGCTTTGCCGTTTGCTTGCGTTTTAATTTTGTGCACGATTGATGAATATCCTTCACCGAATCGATATAATTGAAGATGCCTTATCAACTAAAATATTATTATTGAATGTCATCGTGCATATAGGACGTGTTTCATTTCTCCCTTTCTCCTTCGTTACTCTGTCACTTTTTGCTCCATACAACCAATCAACCACAAATGGCTTATGAATGTTTGTAAATATCCGTTTCATGAGCCAATCGGTTTTCATTTATTCAAAAAGTTTTATTTCAAATGAATGGAAAATGTTTATCAACGTTTTTTTTTCTCTCGTACGAATACAAACAGTCATATCCGTAAATTGTCACGCAAAACACCATTGAACATGTCGAAAATAATAATGAAAAAAAAAATGGAATAAGATAACATTACATTTAACATATTTTTTTTATATGCATTAGAAGCAATTTTTATATATTTTTCGAATATTTGAATACATTTGCATTTGCGTATGACAAATCGTGATAAAACTATTCATCACCATGATCTTTCATACTTTTACATATATCTAAAGAAATTAAGTTGATAGGATGAGGTGTTTCGGTACAATTCGATTGTGTCAAAGTTACTGAGATGGACGAATTTTCGAAGAATTGACAGCAATATGATACTATACTGACTGTGATCATTAATGCATTTGAATTGAAACGATAATAGAATACAAGTCAATTTCGAGCTTTACTTCAACAATTCATTGATGATGCATTCGTTTCGTAAAATCACAGGCTTGTGAAAACATTGCAATATTGCAGGCCATGACTCAGATGAAATTTATCAAAAAAATGACGTGTGAGATGTGATGCGAAAACGTTTACTCTCACGAATCACTAAACGATTACATCGCATCCCACTTTTACCGTAGCGATTTTTTTGCATTCCACTTTAAATATTCGCCGTGCTCTTCTAGATCAATAAAGTAGTTAACAATACAATTTTTACACACATACACACTTAAATTCGGCCGAGCATAGAGTAAATAAAATAATAAAAAAAAAACAAGAAAAAATGGCGTGGAAAAAAGGTATCGATTCAGCTTTTATGCTTTTACAGTTGAAAGTAAGTATCGGAATTGAATAAATGTGCTGAGAATGTTGACATATTCGTGTGCAATGGGACGTAACCTCGTTGATATGTTAATACTACAGATATGTTACGCTTGTAAGCACATAGTACAAGCATTTTTCTAATGCCAAATAGTTGCAAGAGAACGAGGGAGGGAAGTGAAGAGAAAAGAGTGAGAGAAAAAAGAACACGGTAATCGCCAAAAAAGTGAAAAGAGAGTAAAAAAAAAAAAACTAGATGGGAAAAGGTGTGAGAGAAAAGCTTGATGCAATCAGCAAAAAAGGACAAGATAGCGCGTACACCATATAAAATGCAAGAAAAAAAGCCAACCACATTATATTGTTTGCTATATCCATTTCACCGAAAATTTATAAATATTCGATTATTATTTCGTTTTTATTTTATTTTATTTTTTCGTTGGGTCTCATTTTGTTTTTTTTTTTTTGTTGGTTTTCATTTGCTGTTTAAAAAACATTCAGGTTTTTACCATATACACCATACACACACACACAACGGGATATTTTTATAGTATATTAACTTTTACATTTTCGAGCTCTTTTCCTAATTGAATATCGACTCACAAAAATATCAACATTTGATACTGTTTTATTTCGTATTTCGTGTAAAAGTGTATGGATGTGTGTTTTTTTTTCGCTTATTTTCTTGTGTATGTCTTTTTACATCACTCTTCTGCCATTTGAACACTGTTCGCCATGGAGTTGCTTTACATCCCACCGAAATTGACCGTAAAAAGACATTCGCGGAACAATAAAAATACAGAATCTACGGTGATGACACCGATCCAAGGATCGACAGGGAGAAAGGGCGAGAGTTCGAACAAGCGACACACATAGAGCGAAAGACAGAGACAGAAAAAGACTAAAGGAACATGAAAAAGACATTAAATTGAACCGATGCTTCTATCGGAAATTATTCAGTATTATTAACCCATAAAATTGTCTTTATTTGTAAAATACTGACACATCAGGTCTCATATCAAATGTCCTAATAGAGGTAATGAATCGATTGCAATATACAATGGATATTAAAGGTCTGGCATCGATTTAAAAAGCCAAAAAAAAAAAACTATTTACAATCCGTTGTATTGCAACGAGACCAACTTAATGAAATTTAATCTATCAAAGAAGGAAATGCGGTTTATTTGAATATTTTAATTACTTCAATAAACATTATTATTATTATTTAACAGCGTGATCTTATAGTTAAGATCAAAATAGGAGTGAATTATTTAAAAGAAATCCTTATTTGAAATCGTGCTCGGTTACGTTTTGTTTCAAGCATATCAATTTCGTGGGTCATACGATTCTTTTTTTTTAAATAATTCTATGTCATTACAAAAGTATATAAGTAACTAACGTCAACTTTAAAGAAAACTCAAAGAAATATTACTTCGATTGTTGAATGGTTCACGAGCGCTTTTAATGAGACTGTATTTTTTGTTCCGTCGTCCTTTCCTTAATACGGTGCAAGTGTTGCACATACAAAAAATATAGCGTAATCGAGTGTATTGTAGAGAATATAGAAAAATGTTGAAATTAAAATTGAGCATGGATGCACGATGATGTTTCAAAAGGTAAATCGATTCAATAATTCAACGATGTTAAGTTCAATACGTAAAATGAAACGAATCGTTGGAGAAGAAAAAGAAGAAGAAAGAAAATCACCGAATATACAATACAACGGACTCGATGTCTATGTGTGAGCGCGCGCGTGTGTGTGTATGAGTGTGTTTATGTGTGTTGGGGGATAAGTATTTTTCACCTAGGCAAACAAACGTCTGCATCCAATATGAGTCAACAACATGCAACTGCTCCTGCCATCAATTTCCCCACGTTTTTCCCGGCGGAGATGCTGGATATATTTGCTCAAACTCCAACTGATTTTGCAATAGTATATGTATTATACGGTATTTCAGTGCGATAAATGTGTGCGAATGGTTTGATGTGTATGTATTAAACACCATGACTCGGCTCGTATAGATTTCATGCATTGTTGGTAAAAATTTACAATAAAAAAAGAAGCAATAATGCTGCACAGCATTGATAGCTGTAAATAAAATATCCATGCGCCTTTCAAAGCCGTAAACGGAATGTAGTAACAAAGCCAACACTCGAAAAAAATGTACATAATTTCCGATAGATTTGAAGAAGCAAGGAAAGTTTAATTTTTTTTTTTTTTGACAAAATCTTCTCTATTCGATCATGCTTCTTTTTTGTTCACCGAAAAATAATACATATGCATTGATTTCAATGAACATAATTTCAATTTGTATTCGTATGGTGAGATAAAACCAAAATGCATCAAATAATAGCGTATCAATCGATAGCGCGGTTTTTCGTTTGGATTTCGTGTATACATTTGATCCATCGTGTGGTGTGCGATGCTTACTGCTCATCTTTCACAATATAAATGTAAACACATATACATACAATCGAATACAAATACATGTACATAGGATGCCGTGTGCAATATTCATCTTTCAGTCTCTGTATTCAACTATGTAAGCATACACAACTCCCACTCAATTTCCATTTGCATTGTAACAATACAAATTCACCCCAAAGTGGTGCTCCCACCATGCGGAGTCGGTGTGTTCCCTATCAGCACAAGCGCGTATAAAAACCACGGCACGACGAAATTTTATCTAAAGTCGATTCTGTGCCGCTCTGTTCGGCACACGAGAACGATGGTGTATTAAGTAACGTTTTTTCTTGAAATCTTACTCTTCTTCATTCATCGTTTAACAGAAATCCAAAAAGTTTGTTTTTTTAATTGAATTTCTTCGAATTCTTATTTTGTTTCCGAGATTTAACCGTTTTTTTCGGAATTTTGATAATTTTTTTTTTTCGGAACAATTGTTATCGAATACCATCTTTCTTATCATTTTATTCATAACAGTTGTGTTCGTACATGATAATACAAATAAAGTTCATAGAATCGCAGAAGTTTTATTCAAAAATAAAAAAATAAAACCACATAATTGTAGTCAAGATGTATTAGAAAGTAGTTCTCAGTTCTAAATTAAAATATCACCAAGTGTTTATCGCAATTTAGTGGCATTTTTTGTTCAACCGTCACATCTAATCGACTCATCATTTTTCAAAGTACGATCAGCTAAATTTTATCCTTTGATTTTTTTTTTTATTTCAATATATTCTGTTTGTAAACCGTTTTTGTTTTCGAAACTTTTACCGTAAAATCGACAGTTTAGTAACGTACATTTTTTTTTTCAACAGTTTAGTACCGTTCATTCATTATAAACAAAAAATTTAGATAGATGGACAGTAAATTTGAAAAGAAAAAAAACGTAAAAATTAAAAGAAAAAATCGAATAAATTAACAACAAATTCCCGATCTGTGCGCTACAGGTTTATTATAGTCAGACAAGTACCATCGTCATCAAATCCATAATCATCTTCATCATGGTCCGGACACAAGCGATGCTGCCGTTTGAATCACCAGGAGCATAAAAAAACCAAATGAATATTCGTGAGACCAATACTTTATCGATGTGGTAAGTATTTCCATGGTTAAATGCCAAATTCAATTTTTCAACCACACTTTCAATCAATGCGAAAAATTCAACAACAACAGAAAAAAAAGAACAAGTGGAAAGCAGGAAAGATAAACTTAGTGCACAAAAGAGAGATGAAGAGAAATAAGGAAAATATTTTGCCGTGACAGCAATCGATAAGCATATTTTTTTTATCGGCGGTTTCGTCTCAATTGTGTAGTGAAAAAGCCGAAGAGGCAACACATCCATTAATTTCAATTAACATCTGTATCTAATATAGATTATCGGTTTTTCTTCATCCCGCTCTTCTCTTCATCTCCATCTCTCTTACGCTCGTTCGGTTGGTTTTTGTTTTTGAACTTGTACAAACAAAAATCAACAATGATGAACATCGCTCTCATATATGCGTTCACGCGCGCCAATTTATGACTCTTTGCCATTTCATACCACTTTAATAATTTCCCTTGAGATAGAGAGACAAACACATAAGTATATTTTCACACTTATACGTATAGTGTGTGCGTGTGTGTATCGTCCATCAATGTGGATCGTGAGATATAGAGATTGTATAAGTTCGATTTGGAGGGTGTGAGGTGAGAGGGTAGAAATAGTGAAAGAGCATCAAATCACATTGCTTTCGCTCTTGATGGTTAAATTGCTGCTGTTGCTGTTGTTATTTTATTCAGCTTAGAAATATGAGCACACATACCAGAGACACAGTGATCGAAGTGCATTTCCAATTTTCACGCAAACATATTGGAACAACAAAATTTATTACTCTTTCTCCGCTCTTCATGCCCTCATACAGAATTATAAGTAAAACGTGTGTGTGTGCGTGTGTGTAGAGTGCAATCGATGGAGAGCGGACACACTTAGATGAAATGTGAGACGAGATGCACAATAAATGAAATTAAAGTTGAACTAAACACTGAATAAAAAAAAATGAAAGCGAATAAAAAATTGCGCTTAAACAAGGATATTGGTCACCAAAACACACACACAAACAAACACACACTGGTCTCACACCACCTCGAATGGATTCGATGCTTGAGAGCAACAGCATAAAAAAATGACTGAGTGAATTATACTTTATGGTAAAGTGTTAATCTCGGCAAAATAGATAGAGCGCAAATGAGTGAGAAACCGAATGCACCATGTCGACCGAGCAAATTGCTGTTGACGATATCTTAAATTGAACAACCAACTGAAAAACGAATTTTCTTCAATTCAGTTTTCTGTTTGTAGTAATTTAATGCAATTATAAGATGTACCCCCGTTCGACTTTCACTCCACTGAAATTACGGTTTCACCATACGGTATGTTCAGCCATTTTCACACTACACAACGTCACCTCTCTGTTGGTTAAGCTACAGAATACAATTTCTACGTTGTGGTTTCGACCATCATTCTTTTCTTGATTGAATATTTTCCACACATAGTATACTATTCAATATATTTGACCGGTTAGTTATCAAGCGAATAAACTATAGCCCACATATACAACCGTCGACTATATCTATATCGGATGCTCAATTTTCAATTTTCGAAGACAAGAAGAATCTGAAAAAAGAGATAATGTTTTATGGAGAAAAAGACGGTTGAATTAAAGAAGACCAAACCAATAACCATATCCTACATACAGTACAACATACTAGACCGTAGACAAAGTGATATAATGTAGAATGAAATTATTTTAGTATCTATTTCTAGTCTCTCGGTGTATATATATGATCTGCAAACAATGTTGAAATGAAAATTAAATCTTCAGCGGTACAATCAAACCAAATGCTTTATACATACTTTGGGCCCATGCCATTTGTTGGGAATGAGAATGGAAAAGAGGAAACGATCTCAACAAACAAGAGAAACAATATAAACCGTTTTCAACATTTTAACAAAGATATAGCTTGAATATTGTTCACTTCTACACTTACAAACACACAGCTAAAATATATGAGTGTCATTTTCCACGTAATTAAATTTTTTAATCACGAAGAAAGCATCCGTAGATGTGCACTCATCTCTTCCTTACTTTTATTCTTTCTCCCTCTCCACCCTCTGTCTCTCTCACCCCTATATCCCTATTCTGTTTCCACCGATCGGCTGGAGCAATGACATTCACAGCCGTAATTGAAATGACATCGTATATTGTAGTTATTTGTGTTTATGAGCACACTGTATACTATTACCTATTTTAACAATGTGAATTGCATTTCGCCCGAAAAAAAAAGAGAGAGAAGTGAAACGACATGGAGAATCATGTGTTAAATGTGCGAAGAAAAGAAATTCTCCGATCACATTGAATCGGAATGAACAATGAAGTCGAAGAAGTGAGGTGGTAGTGATTTTTTGATTTTTCACACTGAATTTTATCCGATTTTCGGTTCATTTATTCATTTTGGCGTAATGCAATGTTGAAAGGAAAACATGTGATTCCAACAATCGAATGAAAGAAACACCGAAAAGAATGTAATCACAGAGCATGTAAAGCCATTTTAAATAAGTTCTATGGAACAAACCAAAAGAAACGAGAAAAAACGGTGTATTAACTACCCATTCCACTTGCTCAGTATGAAATGCAACTGTGATGTGCGCCAACTGAAATAAAACACCACTACAATGCCGACTGCGAAAGGAAGAAATATGCCTAGACTCCGTCAATCAAATGCATGGAACAGTCTGTGCAAATGAGATAGAATCTAAAAATGAGTGTGTCTGAGTTGGATAAAAAGCCGCCACGGTGCTTTGCTTATTCGGTTTTAATATTTGATCGAATGAAAAAGTCAAATAAAGGGAAACGCTAACACAAAACGGGGGCGGTGAGTAATATCAAGTGAATAATGGACGCCGTTTTTACGGGTATACAATTGCGATGGCATTTAACTTGGATCATTAAGTTGTGACGCCATTCATATTGAAAATGTTAATTCTCATTACTAAAAAGAATTACGATTTGTTGTTCATATTTGACATAATTTTGACGGTGTGGGCGCTCCGTCTACTACATCTTCTTGCCATTTTATTTCATTTGCCACATTTATTTATAAACATGATATGCTTTGCATATTTTAGTGGTGCAAAAAAAAAACTTCATTTTTATGTAAATTGTTGGCATTTGTCGGTCATGGTATTTCAATTTTATTTCAGCATAAATTTGATGCGAATATTATTATGGCGGTGTTGTTGTTGTTGTTTTTTTAATGTAATATCCTGAAAACACCACTTTGATAACGGATATTTTGTCACTTTGTCGAGTATGTTGACCTAGGGGGTAGACACAATAGAGAATGAATGAATACCAATGAATTGTCATAATACCTATCTATTTTCAAATATGACAATTACTTACTTATTTAAAGATTACTTGTACTAAAAATGTGAATACCGTGATTACCAAATGTCAAATTGATATCGGTAATAAAGATTTCAAGTTTCTTCCATTTCGTTTTAACATTCACCATTTCGAAATTTATTTTAATTTTTTTCCGTTTTCTTTCTGCTATTTTTATCAAAATTGTTTTTGTATTTATTAAACCAATTGAAATACTACACTTAATAGCGTTGAAAAAGTTTTTTTAATATTTGGAAGATAATATTCATATATGCACATTGTGAGACGTTGCTGAATGCATTGACATTTCGTCTAAAACTGAGAATACCAAGAATACCAAGAATACCAAGAGTACCTTCAATTTCGGTGAATATCTCAAGTAATATTCCATGTGTCTACCCCCTAGATGTTGACTTTTATATCTACAACAGCAAACGCTAAATGTCGACGAATCCAAGTTTTTTTTTTTTAAGAATCAAAAGCGTAGATCTTTCTCTCTCCCTCTCTCTTTCCATGGACAAGCAAATAGTAAATCGAATTTATTGATTGTGTTAAAGAAAGGAAGATAGAGAGAGGAAGAGTGTGCATCTATGTCTAAGAATTGTTTGTACGTGAGAGTAAAGAACATTAAAATGCTTTTTATAACGGTAAAATGTGGTTAAATCATGGATTTACTTTTATTTTGCACACATCGGCATCCAATACCGAGTTGAGTGTTTTACGTCGTTTGAGCCATTAGTTCAATTTCACTGATATGCTTGCTTTGTTGTACATGTATGTATTTTATTCATTTTATATTTGATTTCACTTTATGCAACATTTATTGGCATTATAGTAACCCTCACATTCGTTTGCCCATTCCGTTTGTTGGCATTTTGTTACGGTTTTTGGACGATGCCACATCATCAAATGCGCGCAACTTGATTACTATAATTGAGAAATGACAATTACAAGACCACCAAACATTCTCTGAAGCAGTCACTCATCTACACACCAGTATATTTGCACAAGTGGTCATTCATCATCTATGTTCATAATCAATACCCTTATCTAATTTAAGAATCGTCTTTGTTTAATAATATAAGGGTGCACGCAAATCAATGTATCCACATTCTCTCATCTTCTTTCTCTCTCTCTCTATTTTTGGTAAATATTCGGTTTCAATTTTGGATTGGGTGGCAGTTCGTTGCTCTCCATTTGGTACACATTTAAAAATGGTTTTTCCTTGTAACATTTTTTCATTCGGTTTCCTGGTGTATGATACCGTTCTCATTTGTCTTTAGATGAGAATTCATTACACCGTGACACAACAGAACTTACATAATTGGACCCACAAAACTTTCACATTTGAAAAGTAGTTTGTGCTGTTATACGAAATTATCCAGTTCACCTCGTTTCTCATCAGCAATTGTTCAACAACGCAACTCGTCCTTCTCTGCCAGTTGAAACTGATATTTATACACTAATTTTTGGTCATTATTTGAACTTGAATGGGATGCTCACCATTTTACCGTCTAGACTAATGCCGTATTTTAATTATATTAAAGTGCAGAAACTTATCAGCATACTTAGCGACCAATTTAACTTTCTGTGCGTTTTTTTTTTTTAATTTAATATTTCATTTTACAATGTGTTTGTTTAGAATTTTAATGAATGTCCAAGCGAAGAG